AATATTTCTCATTTCCAATAGAATGAGTAAAGGTAACTACATAACCCTCTACACACACACACACACACACACACACACACAAACATATTCATAGGGGAATATATCTATGTATATATATGTATATATAAATTTGAGATTTTTCCTTCACATATATATCTGAAATAAGGTTGTTCTGCAAGGGTATCAAGGGAGATAAAAGATAAAACCAGTGTGGTCAGGAAGAATAACTGAAAAGGTGAGTGGGAAGGTATTATAAGAAATTAAGGTATTTTCAAAACCTATTGGCCTAAATATCTATCTTATTACAAATTTGATTTATGATATGAGTCAATTTGCCAAATAGTGCTCCCCCTAAAAAGAAATAAAACTGAAATTAAGAATTAGTAATTGACTGTATTATCTATATTTTAATTTACGATATCAATCATGAAGTAATCTTCTCACTAATAATGACAAAGATAATAGAAATCATTGGTGTATAATAAACTTTAAAATCACACAAGCAGAAAAGCATAAACATAGATTTATTTTAAATGTTGTTTGGTATTTGGATTCTAAACTCACCATTCTGTTATGAAATTGACTCTCTCCACAGCTGACAAAGTAGAGTTAATTAGTAATTTTTGTTGTTTGCTAAAAGTAATAGATCACACCATTACTAGTTTTGCCCTTTAGCTGGTCAGAAACACTTTGCTTAACACATTTAACTTGCAGGTTGATTCTCAGAGTCTAAACATACAGAACAAGTACTAATCTGTGAATTACTAAGGCTCTTTTCATTTTCTCCCTTACAGGATAGTCAATTCAGTTTTTCCTTTTTGTAGGGTGTGGCACTGGGAACCCAGGGGTGCTCTACCACTGATCTACATTCCCAGCCCCTTTTAAGATGGGGTCTCCCTAAGTTGCAGATGCTGGCCTTGAACTTGCAATCCTCCTGCCTCTTGCCTCCTGCGTCCCTAGGATTACAAGTGTGCACCACTCCACCAGTGCTCCATTCCTTGTGATTGTTTGTTAATGTCTCCTACTGGCAGTGATAGTACTAGCTAATCTCTAAGATAGTATTAGCTAATCTCTAAAATAGTATTAACTAATCTCTAAGATAGTGTATAATCATCATCCTGTAGCCTTACTACAGTTCTTGCAGATGATAGAATATGCTTGAAATTTGTAGAGGTGAATTCATCTTGAAGGTAATGAAACTACAAGGCCTCTCATTTATAAGGGCTCTTGCATTTTCTTGTACCTGAATTTGTATAATTTGTTGCTGCAGTTTGAATCCAAGACTGTTCATGTGCTAAGCAGGTGGCATTGGACTGATTAGGCTAGGGAGCCTAAATTTGTATTTCTAATGTTGTACTCATTGCCTTTTAAAAGGCCCCTCAAATTTTATGAGCTCCAGAAAACCTACACAGTTCTGCTTTTTATAACATATTGTAATACTTAGTTTGTTTTTATGTCTTTCTCATAATTTTTAGCTTCATGATAAACGGAGTAATATTTTATTTCTGTTTTGGCACTGTCCGCCTCTTCATTCCATAAATGCTTGTTAAACAAATGAATCATATTCATTTGGTGGTTGTTTCAGTTGGTGTTGACTCTGGTGAGATTTTCTTTGCCTTCATGCATCTTCATTAATATCAACTTTGTCACAAAGTTATTTAAAAAGTTACTTTATTTAAAAAAGTTGTTAACTATTTGCAGAATTCTAAGTTAAATTCTCATTACTGTAAATATGCATAGTATTTTTCAAAAATGCACTTTATGTTCACTTAATAATCTTCTTTTGTATGATTTTTTTTCTGTTTTAAAAATTTTGTTGGAGTACTCCCAAAAGGGAATTACCGAAAGAGTATATTCAACCAGCTTTATAGATTGTAAGAGTACTTCTAAAAGTGAAGCCGAGCCAAAGAAATGTAATGGTACATGATTGCACTTCTTTTAAGCTGTCATTTTATATAAGATCTACATTTTGCCTTTCTTCTCAAGGTGCTTATTTATAATTTGCTTCTTTTTTTTTCAGATGACATATGTTGACAGGTTGACATGTTAGTCGAGAGCTGATATGTCTTATATGATACAAGTTCTAAGAGCTGAACAATACCCAACAAATTAATAAAATTAAACCATGAAGATATGTTGTTATTTCTACCGTATACAATTGCGGTTCATATTTTACGTTTTTTAAAAGCAAAAAATTCTTCTTCTTTTCTCTGTCCCTCTGTCCTATCAGTTCCAAGGATTTGTGAAAATGCCAAATAAATTCATTTGCCACTTACTGACCACAGAGATGGATAATTTAAGGACAATTTTAAACTCTAGATAAATCTCACAAATATTTTAACTATCAAATAAATTGACTTTAATTTTGTTATCCTTTTGCTGGTTGTAAATATGTAATAAAATCAATTCCTGAGAAATTAACATGAAATAAGTATTCTTTAGAATAAAGACATGTTTAAACAATGTAATAGTAGAAAAAAAATTGGACTTTTCTGTAATTTCCTGGCAATTCAGATGCAATTGACCACCAAAATAGACTCCAGAATCTGGGCATAGTTCTAGGAAGCAGCCCTGTCATTCAACTGCCAGTTTACTGTCTTCTTTACAGTTCCTTCAACAATTATCATTGTAATATTTGTCTTTCCACCCCTCTTTCTGCCATATCAAACCAATGAAAAGTAACTATTGAACATTAATTTATATTCACTTTCCTTTATTCATATTCATTCATACCCCAGTCCTAAAATTTCTATAGGAATACTGGTGGGTGCCGTATTTTATTTTAAAGGTAATGAAACATCAGTTTTCTTTTGCACGATCATTTCTGTTTAGGTTTGGAAGATTGTCAGCTATCTTCAGGTTCATTCAAATAGAAAATCATCACAAAATTATACACTTTTCCATTATGCTCATGTGAAAATTATTATGAAATGAGAATTAATAAGCTTTTTTTGTGAAGAAAAATAGCTAGACCCTCTCCTCCCCAAATCACTGAATTATATTATTTTCATGGAGATGGGTTTTACTACTAGCTTTCTATTTTATGTGGGGAAATCTTAAGTTTATTTGCTTTTAGTTTCAAAATACATTGAAGTCCTTAAATTCCAAAAGAGTATGTTTGATAACATGTGGCTGGTGTACACCAAACCCTTACACTGTGTCACATCCTTGAGATAAAGTCTCTTTGAAAGGACTCCTATGTTCTGAATTTTGTTGTCCCTTCTTGCTGAGCAGTGGCCCCTCCTGGGAAAGCAGAGTTATTTCACCCAATATTCAGAGTCCACCATACACTGGACTCTGTGGAATATTACAGGACCATTGACACATATCCATAATGTATTCTTTGGTTCTGCTGTTTCTGTGGCAAAGTGAAATTTGTATTTGGTGTTTGTTGGAAAGCTGTCAGAGGATATCAAACGTTTTAAAAGTAAAGAACCATGGCAATATTGCTATCATATTTTAATAATTAAGCCCACCCCAACAGAGTTTGGTTCTTATTCCAATGCAAAGTAGAGTAGAATAAAATCACTCTTATTTTAAGACAATTTTAAAATGAACTTTTTGCCTCTCTCCCTTCCCACCTACATATCAAGGAGGCACCGGTATTTCACCTCTACTTATAAGGTGGCAATTAGAGAATCCAGAGAAGGCTGTAGGGAGGCAATGGTTCAGTTAGCTTTAATCCCAGAGAAGGAAAAACAGGAGCAAGCCCCTTTGAAAGTGGAATAGTAGATGTTGAGCACGGATTGTTCATGTTTACCACTTCCTTATCATCACAGCGCCAGAGTAGGTGACTGTCAATGAACAGTCTAAGACAGTTTTAGTCACAGAGGTGGTGTAGCATTCAATATTTTCTTTACGTGGAGACTTGTTCTGGATCATTCCCCAGTGAGGATTACTATGGTCTTTAGGTTTTGCCCTTTTCAGGGGAGTGCCAATGCTTTCTGGGTTTTAAGGTCTTCAGAATTCTCCACCAGAGGGAGGACAAGGGAACTAGTAGGTTTCACGTGCAGTTCTGAGAAAAGTTTGAACCTGAGAAAACTAGCACTGATGAATTAAGGATCTCCTAATCTGATCTGTTCCTTCTACCGCTCCTTTCTTGCTCTCCTACACAGCGGAACGAACTCACTCCTGGCTATTGTAGTCATTTTAATTATTGTCGATTGTGCTTTGAGTCGTAGCTTATCAAATTTTTTAAAAATTAAATTGTAGTAAGCATTACAACTTATGACACCCCTTTTAGAAAAACCCAGATTTTTCCTGTTTGTTTTGTATTTGAGGAAAAAGTGAAGATGAAAATTCTAACACACCCATTTTTAAGTACTTGAAGGCAGAACATTCTCAAGTTGCAGATACGAAGTGCCGACAGATCGTCCTAGTGGTTCCTGGAGCCCTTCCGGTCTTACCTTAAACTCCCTTCCTCAAAGAGTTTACCTTTGCGCTACGCAAGAGGGAAGCTTCATTAATATGAAAAAAAAAAAAAAAAAAAAGGAATAAACTCTGAACTTTTCTGGAAAAAAAATACTAAACGTTTTCAGCCCTTACAAGGGCTGCAGAACCTTCGTTTAGGGGACAGGTGTCAGAGTTGCAAACTTTTTCCTCCAACATCTTTCTTCACTTTAAAGCGATCGGACCAGCTCGGAGGCCACTGCCTGCCCGCGGAGGAAAGCCAGGAGCGAGAGCCCCGGGTCCCATCTTTGAACGTCCCGGGCCCTTCGGCTCGGCGCCAGCAGCCGCGGTGGCGGTCGCAGATCCGCGCAGCTTCCAGCGACCCCTGTCGGGGGTTCCCGGCAGCCGCTCTGCGCGCCGCCCCCTCCCCCTCCCGCCCCGCCTGGCCCGGCTCGGAGGAAAGGGACTGCGCCCGGGAGCGCCGAGCCCAGGCTCCTCCCGGTGGCGTGTCCGCGCCTCGGGGTGGGGGTGTGGTGGGGAAGAGGGAGGGGGCGAGGCAAGGGGAGGGTGAAAAGGAGGCGCCAGCCTCCAACCTGCGGGGCGGGAGGTGGGTAGCTGTGGGGCAATTGAAAAAGAGCCGGCGAGGAGTTCCCCCAAACTTGTCGGAACTCCGGGCTAGCACCAGGGCAGGAGAGGAGCGGGCGGCGGCTGCCGGGCGATGGGAATGCGGGCGGGACGGTGAACGCTCTCCAGGTTCTGGCTGCGAGGTCGCGGAGAGAGGCCACGACGGGAGTCGCCAGCCGCGGGACCCAGGGCCACCGGTGCAGTCCCGAGAGCGAGGGCGACGACTTGACGGAGAGACCGTCAGTTCCAGGTGGCTGAGGACCGCACGCCGCGTCCGCGCTGCTCCCCGCAGGCAACAGGAGACCCCCCTGCGCAGCGCGAGCGCCGAAGCCCGGTCGTTCGCTTTCCCCTGGAGGGACAAACTTTCCCCTAACCGATTCAAACCCTTGGACCAAACTTGTCGCGCGTCGCCTTCGCCAGGAGCAGTACGCGCACTGCGCTCACTTCACCGGAGAGATGTCCGAGCGCAAAGAAGGCAGAGGCAAGGGGAAGGGCAAGAAGAAGGACCGGGGCTCCAGCAAGAAACCCGCGCCCGCGGAGGGCGACCGGAGCCCAGGTGAGTGCTCAGCCCCGGCCCAGCCATCCTTCTCTTTGGGTGCTGTGGCCTCTCCCCCTCGCGTCCGCCTGAGCAATGTGCTCCTGGCTCTGCCCCCGTGGTGTCCGCTGAGTTGGCTGGTGCTCTCGCTCCTAGGGGTTGCCCTTCACCTGGGCACCCACGCCCTGAGCTTAGCACGGGGGGGCGACAGTCCCGGCTTGTACCCTCCCGGACTTTGCGGAGGTGCTGTGCTCCCTGGCACAGCCTTCCACCAGCTCCTCAGCCGCTGAGCCCAACCCTGGAGGGGGACCGGCGTGCGGGAGCGGAGGCTGGGTGCGCGCGTGCCCTGGCGCCGAAGGGCTTTGCGTGGGCCCGGTCTGCCCTCTAGCGAGAAAAGTGGGAACCGGCCGCGGGAACGGAGAGCCTGGTCGCCTCTGCGAGTGCCTGGCTACGGGGTGGTCGAGAAAGGGACCGCGTGGGCAACTCAGCGTCGGTGTAGAGTTTTGGGCAGAGAGGAAGCGATGTAGAGTCGCAGCGTGTGCGCACGTTCCCCTAGATTCACTTCTACAGTAGGGAAACTCAGAGCAGCTGGGAGGGATTCCTAAAGGTTAGCGAAGCAGATAAAATTCAGCCCAGTGCCAGGAATCAGGTCAGCTCCAAATAAGTTTTACAAACTTTAGCGCCGCACTTCTGTTTTACAGGACGATCTTGACAAACGTGGTTAATTGACGTTCTCAAGAGGTATCAGAAAGCAACAGTTTACCTAAATTTTTCAATCCAGTTATTTACTGGTTGTATATAGAATGAAATAGCAATTAAAGCATTCTAGAAACAAATCTTCTATTTGTCAGGATACAACATGAATGACAGAGTTACCTTAGATATACCCAAGAAAGGCTAATGCTTTAGACATCGCCTTGGACAGAAGAGACATCCGGAACAAATCCTTGTTTATAAGTGATCAAGTGAAGGAGATGCTTAAAGGGCTGGGGGGTGGGGGAGTGAGGGATGAGAGTTGAGGTTTGGTTTCTGTCTCTGCAATTCCCAATTGTTGCTTTATCTGGGTCCTAAGTCACTTAGAGCATACCTCCAGCATACATTTTATGAAGTACTTCTGAAGAATCAATTCAATGGCACTTGGTAATATTGTGGCTAAAGAAGATAAACAAATATTTTTCTGTTCCTTGCAGGAAGAAAACAAACCAGATTTGCCTAGTGTTCTCATTGGAATTACTGATAGCATTTCAGGACCTGGGTTATTGGCAGAGACCTTAAGCAGGGTTTTGAGCAAAACAGAAATTGAACAGAGAGTAATTGTTTAGCCACTGACGGACCATTCATTCGTGTGCATGCTTCTAAAATAAGACACTGCTGATCAGATTCACCTTAATTACTGCTCATTAGCCCTCTTGAGGGGAGATTGAAATTTTCCATACTTTTACCCTATTTTGGAGATACAGTAGAGCAGTTTATTGAACATAGTATGAAATGTGGAGCCAGTTTGGCAGCTTCTGTAAATACTCTCTCTCCTAAGGTCATCATGATCACTGAGAGATCTTAGACCTAATCCACACTGTAAAATTGTAGAGTTATTTGGGGGTTTCTTATCCCATTTGTGGTGTTTCTGTCTGTTCATGCATTGCCTTCAGATGTTTCTGTGGGCCTTTTAGATGGACTCATGAAATAAAGAGGGACAATGGCCGGAAGTCGCATACCTTTCAGGAGACAAGTTTACATTTTATCAAGGGCTCACAGCAGAAGGACCACAACATCAACATTGCAGACAAGCCAGTGGCTCTGTGGAGGAGAGATTTGGGGGGAACCAATCACTTTGTGCCCTGCAGATCTTATCTACTAGGTAGGCAGCTGTTCTGTGATTACCTGATATTCTCTCTTGATATAGAGTTCTAGAACTTCTTTGGTGGCTCTGATTCTGCTTTCCAAGCAGTTGTGATTCCTTCCAAACCGATCTTTGAGTGACATTCTCCCCATTTGTTTCCCTCCCAAATTGGGATAAACTTGTCACTTGGCTAGTTTTTAGTACATTGTCTGTCCTGTCATGTAGTAATCATTTTTTTTTGGGGGGGGGACTTTTTATCCCCTTCAAGGACAAATTGCACTTGTTAAACTAGATAGGTATGTTTATTCTTCATTTGATTTGAAAAGAATGATCTATTTGAAACCAGCTTTAGGTAGAAGCATGTGGCATTGAATGGAATCTTTGGAATCTGTGTTCTTTTCCTTGTCATTTCCCTTATAATGGGCAACTGCCTGTGTATTTTTTTTTTTAATCCTAGGAGAATAGATGACTGATAGCTAATAATTGTGAAAGAACCCACACACTTTCTTAATCTGTGTTACGCTCTTTTGGTCTGAGTCATCCTCAAAGTAATGACCTCTTGATGCTATAACTACTGTGTTTATCCTTGCCATGCCAGCCCAAATCAGGACTTAGGAGGACAACCATATCTTGAATTGCTCTTGTATCAGTTCCCTTCAATTCCAAGTTTCACTCCTTCCTTAAAACAGCCACTGAAGCTATACGTCCTTGGTGATTCATTTGCAATGGCCAAGTGTCTCTTTGGATGTTCTTATAGCATTGCTTCATGACAGTCCAGGGAGATATAACACTGAGGAAACTCATCCACTCAGCCCCTCTGTGTACAATATTATATGCATGGGCATAAACACATCTGTTGGAGGGGAAAAAAGCTTCTTTAACTTTCATATGACATGTGTGGCTGATATGCAACACATATATGGATGTGTTTCATAGCATCTGCATTTTTATACTGAATGTTGAGTTGCACACTATCGGGGTTGCAGATGTTCAGCATATTTATCTGTTCCATAATAATGGCTCTAATAGGTCCTGAGCCCTTGGGGTCATTGATTCCTCCTTGCTCAAAATTTAGCAACCTCAGCATAGCCCTGGGTTTTGTATCAGATCCATATGCCAAGAGTCCTATAACATCCTGAGCTTCCTGCATGTAGTACCTCCCAGATCCTGCTTCTTCATATTGATTGAATTGGCTCCTCAAAGCTTTTCTTTAGAAACCTAAATCACAAAAGCAATTTCTTTTTTTTTTTCCAATTAGTATTTGACTATAAGCTCCTTTTATGATTCTCTGTTTGCTGATATGTTTTTCATAGTCTCTGCAAAGGATATTTTTGTTATCTTTTAAATGACCAGGAATAAAGAAAGTCATTATCATGCCTAGCCCAGTTTAAAAACTATTGCGTTACTTCATGCCTGGCAGAAGGGGCATTTGTGAGTACAGGTGGTGGAAAAATTGAGAAACTTAGTATCCCAGATGGGTAGAAGCAGGCTGTGTGCTCCCTGAATGACATCACTTACCTGTTTCCTTAACTAAGTGGCTCCACAGGCTGAAGTACTTGTAAACATTCTTGGATATTAAGTGCCCTGTCACTAACAGGGCAGCCTGTGTTTACAGAATGGTAGGAATGTCCAGTGATCTGTTTCAACCTGGTTTCCTGTAACCTTATATAATTATTAAGAACATTAAAGATTATTTTACAGGATGAAATAGTACTTATTAAGAACTAAAATAGCAGAAAGAATGGGAGAAACTTGGATGCTAATGTCATATATGAAAAATGATATTGATGAAAGTTGGAAGAAAAAATAGAATATGTAAAATCAGAAAATATTGGACCCACATTTAAACAGTACCTTAACTGAATATTTTCCTGTTTGAACATAAGGGAGCTTCTGTTAATTGAATTCTTACCATGTTCCACATAGTATAGCACAGGCAAGGGGTATTGTAGCACTTGACCTGTGGAAAATACACAAGAGCCTCAATATTAGGCAACAAGAGGGAAGAAGGCCTTGTTATTAGCTCTCTAGCCAGATCTCCTGGGTTTAAATCGTAGCTCAGCAGCTTCTTAACTTCAGAGCCATGGGAAAGTTACTTAATCTTTCTGTGCCTAAGTTTCCTCTTTTGTGTGTGAAATGGGGATAATAATAGCATTATCATTATCATGAGGACATTGCAAAGTGTAAACAAGATAACCCATGGAAAGCATGCTGAACATTGTCCATCGTGTGATAAGTGCCTACTAAATCTAAGTTCTTCTTATAAAATTACTTCAAGTATGAACTGCCTGTGTCTTTGCACAGATATTTGATAGAATTTTCAAAATTTACCTTTTATGGTAAAAAAAAATCCTATGCTGACCTTAGATTAGTGTAGGTATAAATATTAAATATGAACTACCTGAAAAGATAGAGGAAAGTGGACCAGCATGTCAGATTCCATAACTGCATGTATGTATTATGAAAACAGTGCTGAACTCAATATAAATATTGAAAATACAGTGAGGTACAACTTAACTTTATCCCCGGCAGAAAAATGTTGAGGTTTCAACCTATGAGAAGATTTTGAAATGTGATTCCTTTTCTGGCAACACTTAGAGCTGATGCTTAAATCTCTCTTTGTTGTCTAGAATGTGTAATCTTCTCTTTGGGGGTTAGTATAAATTACAGCAATTGAAAAACCATGTGCATTAATATGTCCTGTTATCTTTTTATCAAGAGTAACAGTATATTGCCTGTTAAGTTCATAGAATTCTGTGCAGGTATTTGCAAATATAAACAAAACAGTGAATATGCTAAAGCCACATTTCTCCCTATTTTCTTTCCTTCCCCCTTTACTATAATGGTTATATGTACTTTTAGGGTTCTAAGAATGTTATGTTCTCTCACTAAATCAGTGTCCTGAAGCCTTCTCAAAGTTACAAGTTAAATTTGACTTTAAAAGAATTGCTAATTTGGTGTCCTGTGTCATGATAGAAGAAAATAAACCAATGTCAATATTTTAGGTGAGTCATTTTTATTTGCTCAAAGAGGCAAATAAGTGGACTTCTGATAGTTTAGTTAACCCCATAGCTCTTCACTTGGCAAATAGAGGAAGCAGAAAACCAAAGCTAATCATATTTGATTAGCTGAACAATGGATTCATTTCAACTAGAGGAAAAAATGTATCTGTTAAAGTACA